ATGTATATCTCTCTTGGTTATAAGTATAACATAATCTATCATAGATCTTTATCCACGGGTGTTATTGAATGTAAATTTATGTTGGTCTTTGTGGTCAAAAAATGTGTTGTTTATTATAATTTCGTTATGTTTTTGCTTAATTCCGGGTATTATTTGATTGTTAAAATCTCCCAAAATTATCATCTTCCCTCTGTCTTGATCTACTACTTGTTGTAATTCGTCATAAAACGTTTCCCTTGTTGTTTAAGGCTTATTATTCTCAGGGCCATATACTCTTAGGTCTTCCTTCTCCAATCTTATCTTTGCTGTTATAATCCTTTCTGATATGAATTGACACTCTGATGTGGTTTTGGTACCTTTGTAAGGATTAGTAAGGCTACACCTTCTTTTGGTCCTGTTTTCTTTTGCTACTCCACTATAGATTAGTATTTATTCTCCTAATTTTAATTGTTCTTTTCCTTTCTTTTTTGTTTCATATAGAGTACAAATATCTAATTTGTTTCTCTTTCAACACTTGGGTTATTTCTTGGTCCCTTGAGTTGAGTGATCTAATATTCCATGTAGTAATTCTCATCTGGGTTTTGGATATTTTTCGCTTGGCCTTACTTCTTGCTCTGGTTATCTTCGTAGTATCAATCGGTTCTGAGACTGTACATTGTTTCTTTGAGCAGTATTTGTTTTTACGATTGGTAGGTTGCTAACCTAGCCAATCACCATCCACAATTTTATCTGAGCTTGGGATCAGCTGTGGTGACTACAGAGCTAGTCACCACAGCTGATTTCCTGATTGGGTGATTTCCTTAATTGTATGTATGCAACATCTATGGAAACCAGGGCAGATCTGATAGATAACATGATTTTTTACTGCAGTACTATTCAAAATAATACAGGAATTGCTCTTTCAGGAGCAAATAAACAACCTTCATAGACTAAGAAAGTAAAACAAGCTCATATTGAACATGGATTGAAGTAAAGTTACTTTTTTGATGTTAGTAATTCTAGTTTGGATGTAATATCTATTACAGTTTATTTCTACAAGTTTAGATGGATATTCGGCAATGTTAGTAGTAAGTTATTTTCATTTTTATCAGTAAATAACAATTGGGATCATCCTCATAAAAATGGAGAATGGGCAAATAGACCTGAAGTGCATTAATAAAAAAAAGTACAAATATGAACCAAATCCATTACTATCAGGGCAACCTGTATATTTTGCCCTTATACTATAGTTCAATAATTACAGGATAACATTTTTTTTGTTGTACATTGTATAGTCATTTTGTTTTTATAAATACCAAGTCCACAGTTCTTGGTTTATTATTTTTTGTATTCCCTTAAAACTTTTCTGTTTATAAAACATATACTAAGTAAGTGAATTCAATAATATGAATTGATGAAAAAAATGAGGCAAGTTGTGAGGCAGAAAGATTCCAATGAAACTTTTATTTTATTATTTTTTATTATTTATTAGACTGTCATAACTGTTATTGGCCAGCTAATAGAATGACACTGAATGTTGGGCAGCATTTCTTAATTTTCTAATATTGTACCATTTTTTCTATAATTAGATGAGTAACTAACTATTATATATTACTTTAAGATTAATTTTAAAAATCTTTTGCAATTACTCCAGCTACGCCAACGACCGTATCCAAAAATCTTCCTTTTGCGCCTCGCCGAAACTAAATACGATGCTTTGAACGTATACCTAGAATCTCATATTTTATATAGGTGTTATTGTAATCTGTTTGGTACGAGAGATGCCTGGTTGGGTAGTCTAAGAGATTAGAGTGACTTTTGGTTGCGTCGTCTAAGAGGACATATTTCTTTCTCTGGGTATTTATCTATGTGTGTATATACACTTCTATGTATCTCAAGTAGTTTGATCTAACACCCGAGTAGATCAAATATACATTACAAATTAACTTCAGTGTTTGATACTAAAGTTCAGTACAGTTTAAATTCAGTGTGATTTCAGAGGCAACATCATCTAGAGTTACTGTAAGTGATCTTACTATTAATATTAGCTCCAATTATCTTCAAAGTAGAGTAATCTACGCGTTATTTCAGACATTTTATTTTACTCATCAGTGGTTAAAGCTAACTACTAAGTAACGTTTAAAACGTTACATTTTTGTTCTTATTAATTTCAAAGTACTTTCCACTATTTTCTGCTCATACTATTTGATTTTCATTGATAATAAGTTCTTTTTCCTATATTTTATTTCAATATTTTCCTATTACAAATAAATCCGCTGATTAATTTCTTAAGTCCCCTCGTAGTCCTACCTTCGCTTACTTTATCGTATAAGAAACAGAAACCCCACTCCTTAATAATTTACTTCTATCAATCCTATCCGATTTAATTTCTTTTTAAAATAAACCAGCAAACGAGAAGGTATTATTAAAAAAATAAGTCCTCGTGGTCAGAAACTTCCAACGGTCTGGGTAAGTTAATACTTTGCTCTTTTTACAACAACATATTTTCATACTTTAATCAAGAACACTTTTAGTTTTTCGTATAATTTTGTGTACGCTAGTACTTAAAAACTGCTTACAATTTTTATTTTCTTTTTACCTTTGCTGTAATAATAATAATTCAATATAAATCGTATTTATCGCACAACTTTGTCTTTTTCATTTTTCATTTAATAATTTATCTATTAATTACAATTATTAATTTGTGAGTTTTGGCAACATCAGAGAATTCTGGATCGGTATACAGGTCTCAGAGAGAAGAGCTTTCCGCTTGCCAGAATTCTTCTGTTGTTGGACAAAACTCATGACGCCATGACGAATTTTGTAGCGGTTTTTGTTTTTCTAGCCACCTTGGTTTTTATTCAAGAGAATCCACCTTGATTTTTATTCAAGAAAATCCACCTTGATTATGATATAAGAAAATTTATGTTGACATGGATTTTTTGGGTCGAAGAATACGAAAATGGAATTGTTTTTTTTTGGAATAAGAAATCCATCTCGATTTTGAAAATCCGCATGGCTTTGGATTGGAGAGGGTTCCACATGGTTTCGGCTTAGCGGCATGGTTTTTGCAGACATTGTATGGTCCGAGTTGAGAAGAGAACAGCAGGAGGATTTCTCATAGAGTAGAGCTAAGTTTCTTTATTTCTTGAGATTTTGTATATAGATGCTTAATTCCCTGTTGTTAGAACCTCAATTTAATTGTTATTACATTTTGATTTATTAAAATATAAATAAATAAAGATATGTGTTAAAGAAATTATTTTATTAATAATTCCCGATTTCTCAAATTAAGTTAGTTTATGCCAAACATCACCCCTGAGGGGTTTCAATGTGCAATGGGTGAGCTAACCGTTACAACTGATGCAATCAATCCCTCTCAGGAACAACGATTTCATCAATTGTAATTTTCAGAACTTTCATTAACTTTCATTAACGAATATTAATTACAAACATTTATTATTTAAAAAAAGCTCTGCGAGTACCTTCTTGTAAACCAAGTGTGATTGAGTTCTTATTTTAATTTTTGGTAAGACCGATTTTTATAATCTTGTTTTTGTACTTCTGCAACTTTATTGTAAATTAATTTAGTATTATTTTGTACTTGCTATAAATTATTACTTTTAAAGCCAATAATCTCGAGATAAGGCTAAAACATTAAGGAGAGATATTACTCTTTTTAATTTTTTTTAAAATATCAAGTTCTCCTTAATGTTTTATTTTATTTATAGGTGCATGTATCTATGTCTATTATATTGGAAGATTTTGCATTTTCGTACATATCTTACTTATGGTAGATTTATTTGTATTTCTTGTCTTTGAAATTTACCCTTCTGGTTATTCAGTTATTGAATATATTTTGTTTTGTTTACCTACTGAATTTTATTTATCTATAATAAGTTTTCTGATAATAGAGTATCTCTGAATATTTGCTAATAAAAATATTTAACTATCACATTATCTTGGACTAGGAGAAAGACCAGGCTGTATATGTTTGTAGGTAAGTAGGTGGACAAATTCCATCGAACATATTATTTGTTTATGTAGTGTGTTGATTACATTTATTTAATAATGCTGTAGCAAATCATCCAACACCAAAATAACATATTCATATGTTAGCTAAAGCCCCATGGTATGTGTCAAACCAAACCTTGCATGCAAACCTCAACATCCCCTTCATCCATGATGTGATTGCTGACCACTCCAGAAGATACATGAATCGCAGCGCAGACCATCCAAACCATCTCACAGATGAATTATTCAAACGCCCACTGGTTGACAGATGTCTAAAAAGACTTTGGCAAGAAGACCTAGTTGCTAGGTAAACTCTAGAGAGTCGTCAATGGACAACACCTGTCACAAGCCAAGAACATACATCATATTTACTTATTACTGTATTGAAGTAGATTGTAAATTAGCAATACATAAATAAATAAATAAATTTATTTAATAATCATTTGTTAACATCTTTTCTTGTATTTGATCCCAGAACCTAATTATCTCTCCTTATCTCTTTTCGTTTCTAAGGTTTCATAATTTTCCCCTTTGTAACCCCAAAAATTAAGTGGCTCCCTTTTTCTTATCTTCTCTTTATTATTCTTCATTATCTTTATTATTTCTTCTGTTGGATCCATTCCCAGTTCCAAAAGCTAGTTTCAAACCCCAACTCACTCTCCACTAACCATCTAACTGCTGTAAGCAGTGTCTGCATTGGTGACCTTTCTGGCACCATCCAAAAAAGGTTTCTGAGGTTACAATATCTGATGAAAATAAAAACTTAATGACAAAATCTTCATTCCATGTTTTAACTTTTATATAAAATGACTTTAAACACAAATGCTGCATAATAACAGCATGAGAAAGCAAATACTTTAACAGGATATTAGTACATGTAGAGACAGCCATTGTAGAAAGCATATATTTTATGTAATATAATAAGAAGATAAATTGTGTTGCGAGAATTGCCTAAGGAATTATATAAAAATTATGAACACTACAAAAGTATCAATCAATTTACTTACCAAACATGGTCAGGTTCATTAATTTTATAAAATCTTGTAGCAATTGTTAATACACAAACAATTCCAAATATAAACCACCAGTTCCTAAAATAATATATTGTATTATAAAATATTTAAAGAAAGCTTAACATAAATGTATGTCTCACCAGCAAGTTTTTGTGATCAATTCTAATTAATGATTAAAAATTGCATACAAATGTAATGGATTTTTTTTTCAAAATTAATATTTTAAAATATGAATTGAAACAAGAGATCTTAATTGGATACTATCTTTTCTTTCTAGATGTCATGCCAAAGTTTATAAAATTTGTTTTATTGTTTGTGAAGTACAATTACTTAACTAATTACAAAATAAATTGGATTTTATCTTTAAAGGTAAACTCATTTTTTTTTTAGGAATAAATGATAATGTTTTAATTTAAACTACATCTTTTTTGTTTTTGAAGACATATATAAAAAAAAACAGAATATAGAAGGAATAACTTACAAGGTCATTTAAGGTAAAAAGGGAATCTAGAGAAAATATGTATGAGTTAAAAATTTATATTAAGTATATGGTCAAAGTTATGGACATTTTGAATTTTGTACAAATTCAAATAAAACTGTTTCTAATTTCATTGAAAGCTGCAACTATTAAACAGTTTTTATTGAAATATATGAAGAAAAACTAAGGCAGGGAGATGTCACTTTTGGTAATCAAATATTTAGTATCATTACCTTTTTAGAATTTCTATGTCCCTTTTACTTACTTTGATTCTTTGTCAGCTATTTTCTGTGCCATTTTATTATTGGAATTTTAAAATCATGCAGATATTAAACAATTTTTTCATATGCAGACGTGGACATAAAGGAAAGTCCCGTTAGTATTGTTTTAAATTTCATATGTTACTTTCATATGAATGTAAACTATTTTTACAGAATTTCATTTTACGTTTTGGATATTCAGATGTATAATCAATTTAAAACATTTTAGCAGAGAAGTAGAATGTATACATTTATTACTAACATTTACAGTGGTTTGTTGTTTGTTTTTGTTTTTGAAAAGTTATGGGGTTAGGTAAACGTCACTGTCAATAACTGGTCTCGATCATGGTCTCGATCATACATGCGATCAAAGGCGGTGTCAAAGGATCATACGAAGTAGATGTACAACTGGAGAACAATAAATGAAACCTATTTTTTAAAGTTTAGTTGTTATTTATACTGTGGTTTAGTACTCGTGTTGTCCTATATTTTCACATAAATAAGGGGGCAAAACATGTAATTTTTTAAAATTTCACTTGTTTCCCGTGATAATTTTGTATGAGTGATTTTAAATAAAATAATCTAGCTGAAAATATATCATTTTTACTTAAACAAATATAAAAATTATATAACAAGTATAAAATTTTTTCGATCAAATCAAGCAGTGCATTACTGTAACTATTATATTCGCTATTATAGTCGCTACGTTACTGGCCATGATTCTATGAATAACAAGATAGGATCTTCCTGTAGCTCAAAATTGGTCGGGTTCGCGCATGCCGTCATTGGAGAGTAGAATTTGAAATCCTGTTAAAGTTAAATCGGATTTGTATGCATTCTGTGATGAAATCACTAGACGAAAATAAGTTAAGAGGTTTAATAATTACAATAATCGTAGACATAAGGATATCTCCAGACTATTTATTAAAGTTTACTTACTGATATATACAAAAAACTGACATTTCGAACGTGCAACTCTCCAATGACGTCAAAAAAACATGCGCAATATCTTATCTTATAGTCATGATACTATGAATAACAAGATAGGATCTTCCCGTAGCTCAAAATCGGTCGGGTTCGCGCATGCCGTCATTGGAGACTAGAATTTGAATTCTTGTTAAAGTTAAATGAGATTTGTATGCATTCGGTGATGAAATTACTAGACGAAAATAAGTTAAGAGGTTTAATAATTACAATAATCGTACACATAAGGATATCTCCAAACTATTTATTAAAGCAATATAAGGTTGAATGTTCGAATAAATGAACTTTGATGGTACACAAGGCAAATATCGAACACAGTAGTTAATCAAATCTTGCCCAAGTACTTTCGATCACAAGATCATCCTCAGGGGCATTTCGTCAGTTGTGGCCTATCCAGCAGTAACAGAATGTCATAAATGTAAATTGGGACATAACAAATACACTAAACAAAGACAAACAAACACTTTAAAATTCAAAAATTGGAGAAGCTACATTTTATATAGAAGCCGGAGACATTCGGCCTATGTATGTTTGTCTATTTGCCTATGATGGACCCCGCCCTGTGTCGTTACCTATGACGGACTAGGGGTCCATCATAGGAAAAAGAAAATAAAATTGGACACACCTTCAGTTTTTGTTACTTAATGATTAACATAATATGTTTTACAGGGATGGCTCTACAAAAAAGGCAACAGTGGAACGAGAGTAATATGCAACAAGCTTTAAAAAGCATACAAGAAAAAACTATAGGGTTTAAGCTGGCAGCAAAAACATTTAACGTTCCAAAAACGACTTTGAAAAGGCGCTTTATTAAGCATCAAGGAAGTATCAAAGGTGATTTGGGAGGACGAAGACCAATATTCTCCACTACTATTGAACAGGAAGTTGCTGACCATATTAGGACTACGGAAACTCGTTTTTTTGGCCTGACTAGTAAAGATTTGCGAAAACTTGTATACGAAGTAGCTGAAAGAAACAATATTAACCACAATTTTAATAAGGAAACCAGGATGGCAGGCTGGAAATGGGTCAGAGGCTTTTTAAAGCGAAATCCTCGAATATCATTACGCACTCCAGAAAATACTTCGTTGGCAAGGGCTCAAGCTTTTAATAAACCAAATATATGTGCATATTTTACTGCATTAGCAAATATATTAGACGAGTTTCACTTTCCACCGGAAAACATTTATAATATGGACGAGTCCGGTTTGACAACTGTGCAAAAGAAATCGCAGAAAATTTATGCTAGTAAAGGTCGCAAACAAGTTGGTGCTTTAAGTAGTGCAGAGCGCGGTCTACATGTTACGGTCGTATGTGCAATGAATGCAATTGGAACATATGTTCCTCCTGCTTTGATTTTTCCTCGACAGAGAAAGAAAGATGAACTTATGATCGATGCACCTACTGGAAGTATAGCCTTCGCTCAAGAAAAAGGATGGATGACTTCCGATATTTTCTTTTGTGGCTGCATTATTTTTTAAGCTATACAAAGGCTTCTAAAACCAACAAAGTTTTGTTGTTACTCGATGGCCATGGTAGTCACAAAAGTTTTGAAGCTCTCCAGTTTGCAAAGGAAAACGGTATTATTATGTTTTGTTTTCCTGCTCACTGTTCTCATCACGTTCAACTCTTGGACGTAGGATTTTTAGACCACTTCAAATTTACTACGGCCAAGAAATTCAATTATGGCTGCGACAGAATCCAGGTAAAACGGTGACCCAATTTAAAGTAGCCAGTCTCTTTAATAGAGCGTATTTAAAAAGTGCTTTACCATCAAATGCAATCAATGCATTTAAAAAGACAGGAATACAACCATTCAATCCAGATGTCTTCGAGGATTGGCAATTTTTGCCGTCTATAACAACAGATAGAGAAAATTTTGAACAAAACCCACTGCCAGAATGTTCTGACTAGAAGTCACCACCGGAACATTGGAGCCAAAATGTTTCTTCGATTGAAAGTTTATCAAAAAGCCCCACTGATCAGAAATCAACATCATCGTCAGTTCTAAACATCTCGGTAGAAGATATTTGTCCTCCTCCTTTAGCTGGAGTATCTCAAGTAATGCAGAAAAGGGGTAGAAAACGGGGTAAAACAGGATATTTAAATTCAACGCCAGAAATTGAAGATATAAAACAAAAAATTGCAGACAAAGAAGCAAAAAAAGGAAACAAGACGCCATAAAAGTGAAAAGGCAAGTTCGTGTTTCAACTACAAGTGGTTCTGAAGACGATTGTGAATGCTCTTTTGTAGAAGGCGACTCGGACGATGCAGCTTGCATCTACTGTAACGAAGTATTTTCGCATTCACAATCCAATGAAAAATGGTGTTACGATAATTATGGCATTTATAACTATCAATATATTATGACTAATTCTGTTTTCTGTTCCAGTAAATTCGAAGTTGTTTACAGAAACCTTTAGACCCTAATTTTATGAGTAATCCACGTCTCGAGGCTTTTCGAACGGTTGAAAAACGAGTCGAGCGCCTTCACCAAAATACGAGATTATTCAAGAAGTTCGCCGAATTTTCTAGATGACAACAGTTGTGTATATAAATGAAAGATTTTTTATTTGGCGGGCAGTCATAAGAAGATCGGGAAACGCGGTTTACTTGTAACGAAACCATAAATACATTTGTACAGCTATTTAATAAATTAGTAATTAGTTATCGTGAGTTTTAATAAATTAGAAAATAGACAATAAATAAGAATAAAGACAAATAAATTAGAACAATATAAATATACAACAGTGGTGCAGAAGTGGGATTGTAGATAAATTTAATTTAATTTTTGAAAAAGACTTTTGAACTTTTGAAAGGTATTGTTCGTCGGGAACATCCGCGTAGTTCAGTAGTGATCGTTGTACGAAAGAACATTTAAAAAGTACGTGTGTGCCTGACCAAAGATGCTGCTAGTAGAACTTTCAGTGAAACAGTTGCGTGAGCAACTAGAAGAACGCGATGAAGACTGCAGCGGGTCCAAGAAGATCCTCCAAGAACGACTGAAGACTGTTCTCAACAAGAATGGAGACGACCCAGAGACATTCCAGTTCCAGTCAGCAGAAGAAGCCGTTTTAACAAAAATAATTGATGGAAAGTTTGAGAATGTCTCAAAAATGATTGAAGAATCTTCTAAAAAACATGATAATAAATTAAAGAACGTTTCCAAAAGATTCGATGAAACATTCGAAAATATGTCTAGAAGATTCGACGAAGTATGTATTCAGAATAGTGAGAAGTTTGAAGAAGTCTCTAAAACATTTGATAAAGTTGAAGAGAAAATCAAACAGTTAGAGACCATGATAACTAACACGAGAGTGCTACCACCAATTAATACGGTAGCTTTAGATCCGGTAGAGATAAAAGAAGACGAGACGAAATGTAAGTTGGAAACACGGCCGAAGTTTGAAGGAAGCGGAGGTTATGTTCATGTCAAAGTTCCAACTTTCGACGGAAAATCGTCATGGAACAATTACATGAAACAGTTCGAATCAGCTGCAAGAGCGAATGGATGGTCAGAAAAAGAAAAGGCTGTAAACCTGACTATAGCTCTTCAAGGAGATGCCTTAGATGTGCTCCAGACCATAGCCGTAGAGGAGACGGATGATTTCGAACAACTGAAGAAGAGGTTAAATATGCGATATGGCCACGAACACTTGGAGCATGTATATCAGTCGCAGCTCAAAAATCGAAGACAAAAGAAAGATGAGGCTCTTCAAGAATATGAAGTAGATATTGCCAGATTAGTGCGATATGCTTATCCAACAGCTCCCGAAGACATGATGGAAAAGTTGGCCATTCAAACGTTTATTGATGGTCTTCGTGATCATGAAATGCAGAGAACACTACGATTAGCTCGCCACAAGACGCTGATGGATGTCTTATCTGCCGCCCTCGAATACGAGTCAGCTACGCAGGCCTCTGGCGGGTATAGCAAAGTTAGGACTGTAAAAGAGGAAGGAGATGAAGATAAACTTGACCAGCTCGTTAATATGATGAAAAGCATGACATACAAGAAAACGAAGACTATAAGATGCTGGAATTGTGGCGAAATAGGACACGTACGAAGTTCATGTAAGCATCATAGGTACGACACAAATCAAGAAACTCACCATCAGAAAAACTAGAACGGGTCGGCCTTAGGGGGGCAGCTTCGACCCAGAACTTTTCCAAAGACCCTCTCATACTAATAGCTTCTTTGAAATGTCATGAAGATAGTGTATATGTAGATGGAGAAATAAATGGTAAAAAGCATACGTTGTTGGTGGATACTGGAGCGACAAGAACCATTATTCGACCGACAGTTATAAACAGCCGTAAG